AATACGTCAAATGTAGGGGACTTCTCCTGGAGTTGAATTCTCAAGGGCTTTATTCATGTTTAAATAGAGAAAAGAAAATTTGTCGTCTTATGTCCATGGCCACGTCCTCCATAAAACGTCGCATTGGGAGGTTTTACGTCGTAGTGGTGCAGTGGACGTCAAAGAAATGTACTAAAGAGCGTGATGCACGTGCAGAGCTGTTGTTTTGTTCATAAAACCAATTGTTTTTTTTGGCGTTGTCGTTGTCGTCGTCGTCATAGTTGCTTAAGAGGAAGCCTAACGACCACAACGACAACTTAAAAAAACAATAGGTTTAACGATCAAAACAACAGCTCTGCACGTGCAGCACGCTCTTTAGTACATTTCTTTGACGTCCACTGTACGACTACGACGTGAAACCTCCTAATTTGACTTTTTATGGAAGACGTGGACATACGACGACGAAATTTCCTTCCCCTTTTTGAACCTGAATAAAAGATACTTTAGAATTCAACTCCAGGAAAAGTCGCCTGCATTTGACATATTGAGTGGGTCCAAATGGACGGATTAATTTGAAGGAACGCAAATTCATTTTTTTGGCCACGTTTTTACTGCCGTCGTCGCCGTCTTAAGGTCCCTCTTAAAGGTCATGTACTAAAAAGCGTACGCGTGATGCGTGTGCAGAGCTATGCATGTTGTTTTGCTTATAAAATCAATTGTTCTTGCTTTTTACGTTCAGGCTGACGACATCGTCCTGTTTGGTTAAGTTCCCTATTGATTGATCTTCCCTTCCGCTTGCACTCACAACACGCAGCGGATTCTCCTCCTGACATCAAATTTATCATTATTTTACGACTTTTTGGTCCTATATTTCTGGTTCAAATCAAGTATAAAAGATAAGCTATTAACTAAGGTAATCAGAAGAAATTTTACCTTAACATAAACATGACCTGGCAATAAAAGTCGACGAAACTCTTTGTCATTACGTATTGTAAAAATACATCAAAGTATAGATTCGACTGTTATTTTAAATAGCATGCCAACACATTGTTCCGTCGGCCACTAACAGTTGTCAAAGCGCTTAGACTCTGAGCCTAAGTTAAAATCTCCTTCCTCTAAACAATTTCTGGCTCACAAACATCTGTACAATCCAATATGACAGTCTTCTGACATAGAGGTTCCTTTCTCCTTTATAATAGTTCTAAGGTGTTTTTTTTTTTTTTGACAATCGGCTAATCACGTGCGCAATTGTTGCAAATCTTTTTCTGCTCTGATTGGCTCAGGCCCCTTTGAATGAACGACGTACCTGCAAATAGTTCAATTCTGTATCCTCTTCCCAGCTGGTAAGATAGTTTGAACGCGTCCAAATGAGAAGCAGAACTTTTTTTCTGCTCCATACCCTACTGAACCGTCTCTAGTATCTGCACGCCTGGAAAAGGCTAGGAAATCTCCTCCTCCTGTTTGACAATAGGGACCTTACGAAACTTCGACGACGACGGCAACGGCAGCTTCAAAAAGCAATAGATCGTTCTCTCTGTCACGTAGCAAAAAATAAATTGGAAACCGTCCAGTGGAAGAGGCCAAGAAAATGAAATGATGTAAAAGACTAATATATAAACGATTTGTCCAAGTTTCAGGTCTTTGTGGCCCACAGTTTCTGAGTTATTTGCCGAATCGTTTCATGCACCTTTGTAGAGCTTTATATGGAGACGCCATATTGGTGTACCATTTTGGCCCACCAATATGGCCGCCGAAAATCAACAAAAACATCTGGAGTTCACTTTTTCTATAAAAGCTCTTTCTTTTCACTCGAAAACTAGCATACGTGCGCATAAACTTATCTTCTAATACTTGAAATGGTTATACTGCCGAAAATTAAAAGGAGAGACTTTTTTCAACGAGACAGCATTCCCATTTTGGTGTCACGTACTGTAAAAACTCGGAAGTTCAAATTGCTGTAATTTCATAATGAAATATGCTACGGGAATGGAAACTTGTACAAAGATTTACTTTTTGTTTATCTTCAACCTAGTGTAAATAGGAATTCGTAAAGCCTCGCTATTTTGACTTTACAATTTTGATGACGTCACTGTGAAAACCATCTATAGGATTAGTTAGCAATTACACGTGCATCACGCTTTTTTGTACATTTCTTTGCCGGGCTGCACGACTACGACGTGAAATGACCAAATTTAAAAGTTTTTTTGAGGACGGGAACGTTAAGGCGATAAATTCTACTATCTCTTTCTGAACTCGAGCGTGGCCCTCTCTCTTCAGCTCCAACATAAATTTCCTTCTTTGGGCGACTTGTGATAATCGCGATATGGTTTGAAAGGATACGGAGTCTATTTTCAGCGACGTTGTCATGAACGTACAACGTCGCCGTTGTCTGATCGTAAGGTCCCTATTATTCATAGCCTGTGTAGGCTCGAATTCCAGCCGCTTGAACCAGTTCACTTTGCACCCTCCTTTCAACTAACGTGGGCACACAACACGGTTGGTAATCATGCCGGACAACCTCGTCCCCAGGCCTTTTCCCTTAAAAAATGAGTGGCCCCACCCATTTTTTAAAGGAAAAGCCCTGGGGACGAGGTTGCATGCCGGATCCCCAATAGCCTGCGCAACCGAGTCCCCAGGGACACTCCCACGTCTTTTAGTTTCCCAATATGGCGGCGACATACTGGAACTTACCCAACGACTGTTTCATATCTTTTCGGAGAAGCAAATATTGCCTAGAATTTTCTATTACTTGAGGAAGGCTAAAAATGTTTAGATGACATTCATGTACAATTTTCGGAGCTTTTCTTATAAATTCCCTGCGATTTTCTGAAGTTTCACAGCCCAGGTCAACCTATTTTTCGTAGGAAAAAGAAACCTAAAATTTTCGGATTCAAAAATGTAAGGAGGGAGGAATAAAAAAAAAAGATTTTCGTAATGCGTTAAATTGCATCTAAAATTTTATGCAACTAATACTAAAATTCCTTTCATCACATGCAAATTTCTTTGCAAATCAAAAAACCGTGGGCACGTTGATTTCATTTTGACAGGTCATTTGTGTACTCACCAATCTTAGACCCTGTTTACATGGAGTGGGGGACCCCGGTCTAGTGGGGTAAGTTTCTTTTGTTTTGTGTCCCCCAGAGCGTGAAAACGAAAGAAACCAACCTCACCAGACCGGGGTCCCCCACTCCATGTAAACAGGCCTTATACGACTTGAAACCGTGAAGAAAAGAGTTTACCTCGATACGTCACGACAGCGGGGGATCCAGGGAAAGGGCCCGGGGGGGGGGTCCCTCCCTTATTTTTAGACCAAATTGAGGCCAGAAGGGCCGAAAAGATTTTTTATAAGACCGGCCTTCCCACCCCTTATGTCAGGGTCTGGATGACCGCCCTCCCTTATCTCAAGGTCTGGATCTGCCACTGCACGACACCACGCTACAATGAGATTTTATTCTGAGAAATTCCATTGTCTTATTAGCTTCGAAAGTAATTTCAATTCCTTTTTAAAGAGATTTTATACATCTGTCCGGATTTGCTAAAACGTGGCTTAAGAAATTTCAAGTGCACTTTTAACAATTTGACATCTAAGGCGAATGGGAAGCAGTTAAAAGTCAATAGCTGAGGCAACAGCAATAAGCAGCCTAGAAAGGTAGGTGCCGCTGAACAGGGTATGGTTTTTGGGGTCGACTTCAGTCTTGAACAGGGTGTCTTTTTCGACCGATGAGCGGTCTAAATCTATAGTTTTAATAGAGCTTTTTCAAGAGGATCTAATTTCATGAAGTTACAGTCGAATCCCAGTAACTCGAACCCTATATAACTCGAAGCTTCTCGTTTTCTATATAATTTTACTATGGATAATAGAAAGACTGGGTCTTTCTATTATCCATGATTTTACCCTCGGTAACTCGAACTCCCGATAACTCGAACTTTTTTCTATTTCCCTTGTAGGTTCGAATTATCGGTAGTCAGCTGTAGTTTAAAAAATTACTTAATTAGTTTAGTTTAAAAAATAACTTAATTCTGTGAGCAAAACGAAATGAATAAGGTCCCTTGTCTTGAACCGGAAGGCCTCGGCGGCACACCTCCACCCAAAGTGTTCCCTTCCCCCCCGGTTCCTGCGACCCGTATATAGGCTATTTTAAGTAAACATTAATATTCCCAGGGCCGAACCTTCCCGTTGTCTGAGCTGGGATAGTTCCTCGAACCTACCAGGTGTATTTGGGAAAACATGCAAAAGAAAAAGCTTCTTCCTTTATGTTTTGACTTTTGGCTTCCGCAGTTTTATAAGAGCGTGTGCGTGAACGTGCGTGTGGCGCGTGCACCCGGGCCATCACGAGAAATTAATATACACACTAATATTTATTTTTTGTTTCAAAGATACTTTCGTCAAGTATATATTAGCCTGTGTAAAACAATAGATTTGCTCTAAAGCGCTTGTCTTTTTGCGTGCTCGGAAGGCGTGAAAATCACGGAAAATGAGATAAAAATGCCAGGTGAGTTTTGAATTCCAAAGAGCGCACATACACAAAGATCAAATTATGCTAAATATCAGTTGATTTGCTCCAATCACGACGGTCCGTAATATATTCTCTGTCAATCAAAAAGCCCCTGGAGTCTCCGACAGCCCATAATTTTTTGTAACTGTTCGTTTCAAAGTTGAGCACTTTGAGGTGAAAACAAATGAACACTGATTGTGAGGAAAAGATTGATCATTTGGGCTGAGTTTAAACGCGTTCATGGACAGCACGTCCATTATAACGCAGGTTACAAGGGACGATGAGTCTGTGGAGGTGAACCCGTATAATCAAGTCAAGTGTGAGTAGGGGCTTCCACTCTCACTGCATTGCTCATTTTGTCATAGCCATAGTCACGGCGCGAATTTTGTGAGGCGCTTAGAGCGATACCGGCTAAATTTCAGCGGTTGAGATGATTCTTTAAGCACATTATTTCAAGCTTTCTTACAGCTTGTTTGCTTGGGAATCTCCGATTGCCGTCATTGAGTTAATGAAAGTGCTGTTAACATTTGTATTTAAATTGTCAGCTCCCGCTTGGTTAATACGTTTGATATTTTGCTATTCTTGTCCCCTTGCACGTTCACTCAGTTCACTAACTTTTTCTGGTGACTTACAGTACCTGGTTCACTCTCCAAAAAGCCGAGAAGTCGGAACATATTTTCTTCGTTTTTCTGCTGTTTTGGCGCCCAATCGACAGCTGCTGGAAGTCCGTGTACAACTGTTTCGCACTCCAATCACAACCACAACCACAATGATAATTCGATCACCGAAGACAAGACTGATTCGAAGGTTGGTATTTCCGTACGTCGAGGTTACTTGCCAGGTGTTTAACTGTAATTTTGATGAACTACTGTGCGCATAACTCTATCTTTCAACTTAGAAAGGGGTTTTGTTTGTTAGGGTCTGGATCTCTGTCTATTAATTTTTAAAATCCTTACTTTAATTTATCCCAGGAATGCACACACGCAGTATCCTTTGTTTTCATTAAGCTGAGAGCAAATTGTTTCTCTAAGGCTTCAGTTCTTTCCCTTGGTAGCTCGAATTGCTGTGGAAAGAGCTTCTTTCCAGCTCTTTCCAAAGTAGTAAAAATTCGATTTTCGAGTTTGTCGTTGATCATAGTTTGCACGCCGGGCGTTTCGTGATCTCAAGTACATCCAAAAACTGTCAATTTCATTGAAGAAACGGACACCTCGTGACGGTTTCTTCCACGGTCGAACGTTTTACTCAGTGACGCTTATGGTTTTGCAGCTTTCGGAGATCGATGTTACAGAGCTTGTTTCTTGAGAGTTAAAAATTGCTATATGGTACAGCAATATAAAAACAATACCAATTAATTCGGTTCATGGAAGAGAAGTGATCACTCCGGCTGGTTCCTTGTCGGTGTAAATTAATTTCTGCATGTTTGCTGCAAAAGGAAATACCCTATATTGCTCTTTCTAACAAATATTTGACTTAAAAATTATATCAGATCAGCCGCGTTTTAGCTTGTTTTACAATATTTTACTACTTTAATACGTTAATAATTTGTGTATAGTTATTCCAGGGTAGCAAAACTATACACTCGGATCATGAGTCTTGAAAAACTACCTTGTAAACATCGTCTCTGTTTGATTATTTTGAAGTTGATAACTTTGGTTGTTATCATATTGATCTACTTTCTTTCTTGGCAAAGAGTTGATCATAAATATGCCTTGTACAGTGGTATCTCTTTTGCATAACTCTTAAAATTTGACAGTTGAATATTGTCTTAAGCATTAACAAACTCTTAAAACAGCCCATAGTGAGCAAAGGATAAGTTACATATTGCATATTTTTTTGTTTTATTTCTGGTATCTACCCATGCAAATTTTATTTCAATCTTAAGAGTTAGAGCAGTGTTATGTAATGCATCAAACAAGTCACCTGAAAGAGCGTTTCATCTGAGCGGACAGGGTTGATTAAATAGATCATTGCAACCACTTATTTGAATCAAACTCAGTGTCTGAATATATAATATAGATGAAAACTCTTTTGAGAGTTTGATATGATAAAACTTAAAATTATCAATAATCATCAAGTAAATATTGTTTTGAAACTTTGTCATAATTAGGGTTATTTTTCCTTTGCTTGAAATCTTCTTATGAATCATTAATGAACTTAAAACAATATCTTTACTTTGTATTTATAAAAACAATCAATAAAATTATTATGCCTGGTTTTTGATTTGTTTGCAAGAGCCTGAAAGATTACTCTCACTTTAAAATGGCTGAATAACTTTTATACATGATACTGTAAAAGTTTGAAAATAAGCCCCTTCATTTATAAGCCCCCCCAAACCAGTAATGCAAAAAACCCTCTGTTAAATTGCCTCTCCAAATATAAGCCCCCTGAGGGCTTGTACCGGGAATGTTGCCCTCAAATACAAAGTAAAACAAAGTAAAAACGGTAAATTTACCTTCAACTGTAAGGCTAGCCCAATCGATTTTGAAACACAAATTTCCCTCCATAGATAAGCCCCTCCAAAAATAAGCCCCTCAAAAAGGGCCTTTGAAAAATATAAGCCCTGGGGCTTACTTTTGGAATTTTATCAAAGTTAATGTAAACATTATTAGCAAGAGCCTTAAAATCTCTCACTTGAAAAAAGTTAAATAATATTAGACAGTGCTAATTTTAGTGACCTGATTTAATAGTTCAGGACTAAGGAAAGTGAAGTATTACTGACTGTATTATTGTGAATTTCTTTCTGTTTTGCAGCCCTGTAAATATCTCCTTCCTGCTGTCAGACACCAGGATATGCATAAGAAATGTGTAGTTATAGACCTTGATGAAACACTAGTACATAGCTCATTTAAGGTACAGTCATGGCTTTGAGAAAGTAATGATAGTAGTGGTGAATGTCAAAAAAGCAAGCAACCAAGATCCACATACAAATTCAGTGGCAGATCCAGGGGAGGGGCCCGGAGTGCCTGGGTCCCCCTTATTTTTAGACCAAACTGAGGCCTAAAGGGCTGAAAAAATTTTTTTTGGAGACCAGGTCCCCATGCTCCCCTTATCTAAGGGTCTGGATGACCACCCCCCCCCCCCTCTTATTTCAAGGTCTGGATCTGGCACTGAAATTCTCCAAACTAATCTTGAAACATTTCCTTGAAGATTAGTTGAGAGAATTTGATGAAAGACCAAAGCATTTCCCCTTGGTGATCTTTTTTTATTCTCGTAACCTTTTTGCTTGAGGATGTTTTGATGTTGTTGGGAGAAAATTAATGTTAGTCACTTTTGGAACTTAATGGGTTACTTAATCCTTAAACTATCAAGAATAATGGGCACCAAAAACGTGTTCCCCCAAAATTTATTTTTTTCCTAAAATCCTCACACATGTCAAATACACACAAAAGGATATGATTCATAAAAATGTGCACACCATGCCAATCGTAACAATGGTAAAAAAAACTACGAATTGTCAAAGAAGCCTTGTGATCACTGATGGTAAGCTTCTTTGTCGTTTGGTACAGCATTATTGGAAGCTTTTAGCAGCATGTGTTGCCCTATGTGCTGACAGCTGACATTTTGTGATGCCACCTGTGGTTTCCCTGCAAAAGGACGTCTGAGAAATGAGCACAGAAATTCCACATTGTCACTACCCAGATCTGGGTGGTGCTTCTTATTGGATGAAAATTTGCTTCAACCAATCAATCAGAAGCACTTCTAAGGTCTGGCTAGTGAGGCATCATCAGTACCAAATTTCTGCAATCATTCCTTAGACATTATTTTGAGGAACCAGAGGTGACATGGCAAAATGAGTCAAGTAATAAAAACATCTTGAAAAATTCAAAAAATGTTTTTTTCGCCCCCCAGCCTCTCAAACACAAATGGTGGCTGTCCAGCGAAGTAATGTCCGTGAGTGACCAAGTCTTGGTCATGGATTTCATGAAGAGTATTCTTTGTTTTATTGCAGCCTGTTCATAATGCAGATTTTATTGTCCCTGTTGAGATCGATGGCACAATACACCAGGTATTATCAAATGAAATGGAGTAGAGTATTACTCTTATTGTTTTTCTAATTTGCACAGCAGCAACATTTTCTACTCTTGGTCTGGTCCTGTCCTGTCCTGAGGCCTTTAGACTTCAGGAACCCTTTCCTCAATATGGTGGGCGTTCCAAGAAGTACAGCAAATTCTGACCCTATAATTGGGAGTCCGGTTTCCCTCTTAAGTTCTTCAGTATCACTCCTGGAGTTATTATTATTATTATTATTATTATTATTATTATTATTTATGACACATTTTTTGGGCAATCTCAAAACAAGCATTTGTTTGTTTGACTTTTAGGTGTATGTGTTAAAACGGCCCCATGTGGATGAATTTTTACAAAGAGTTGGCGAGCTTTTTGAATGTGTTTTATTCACGGCCAGCTTATCAAAGGTTTGTTTGACTTTGTTTGTTTCTTTGGAAGTTTTTGTTGGATTTGCTTAGATTAACTAGTGAAATCATAGGAATACATAATTGCACTACTTTTTCCCTCCAAAGGATTGTCTGAGACATAAAGTCAGATCAGTGCTGTAGTAAGATTGCAATGTTTTTCAGTTTAGCCACTGGTGCTTCCTTGACCCTTATTAAGAACTGTTTTTACATCATAGATTAAGTTACATTGTAAAGACGTTCTTGCTCCTTGGTTACAAAGTTTGGTTTTAAAACAATGTTTGTCACTCAAGGAGTTGCATCAGGAGAAACATTGTGTCCACAACATTTTTCCTATTATAGCCAGGTCCTGTTATTATTATTATTACTATTATTATTATTATTATTATTACTATTATTATTATTATTATTATTATTGTTATTAATGTTTTCATATTGCATTTTTTATCAGTATGCTGACCCAGTTGCAGACTTGCTGGACAAGTGGGGGACATTCCGTGCAAGACTTTTTAGAGAGTCTTGTGTATTTCACAGAGGAAACTATGTAAAGGTACAACAGCAGGCTGTTGTTTAAAGCCCATCAAGCCTATAGACATGATAGAGTGAAATTACCTATTTCTTTTGTGTCTTTAATAATAAGCAATTATGCATAAGCATAATTATGCCATCATGGCGGATGTACGGGCCACGTTTTCCAGCCTTCTCACCATTGACGCTAAAATTGTCGACTATGGCCGCAATTATTACTTTTGAAAGGGTAAAAACCTTTTAATTAAAGCGGGGGCTTGCCCCTGTAAATGCAAAACTGTTACCTGCTAATTGGAACCTAAATTGTTTAGGGAGCTAACAAGAAAACCAAATGGTGCATTGAGCTCCTATTTATCTTGTACATTAATTATTATTTTAATTAATTAATAACTTCTTACTTTGTTCGTCTATAAGATTGTAATATCAACCTTTTACATCAATAAAAGGACAGTAAAGACTGATCTCATCTGAAATAAAACAGAAATATTTATATGTTTATTTGTGTAGAGAGTGAGTCACAATGTGTTTAATACAACAAGTTTATCGACTTTTAAACTTAAGTTGCAAATTTAATAGAAATCAACACAACCTGTATATAATTAAGTCAATACACATTAACTGAAAGGTTGGGTTTTAAATTACTATGAACAGAAAATGCATATTTAAATACATTATATTAGTACTACGCATTTTAACAGATTGTTGGTTGTCTATTAGGATTTGAGTAAACTGGGACGAGATTTAAAGCATGTTTTAATTGTGGATAATTCACCAGCGTCATACAGTTTTCACCCAGAGAATGCGGTAAGGATCAACTTCGGTTGAAAACTTGAAAACACGTTTCTTTGTATAGAAGGAGAAATACAGTCGAACATTAGTAAGAGTGCAACTGCCATTAGTAAGCGACAACAACCCATAAGCAACTACCAATCAAAAATAATAAAACTTTACAGTTGGAACCTCTTGTAAGAGATCACCTCTTCTAAGCGACTGTGACCGTCACTTTTTGCGGATGACGAAATTAGTAATTTTGCTATTGTTTTTAACCCCGTGTAACCGACCGCTGCATGCATGGTCTAATCTCTATGTTTGTTCTATGTTACATAAAGTACTGGTATACAAAGAACTTGTAATGGCAACATGGAACAACACATATTGTAACTTAGAAATTGCATGCAATAAGTTATTGTCCACAAAGTAGATGTGTAGGGACTTCTTCTTAGAAGAGACACCATGTGGTATGATTCTTGTAAACCACCACCTTCCGTAAGGGACCACTATGTTTCCACATTTTGTTTAGTTGCTTACGGGAGATACAACTGCATATACGTTACTTTTTTGGATTTTGCTCACAGCTTCAAGGGCATTTGTCACACCATATCTCTGACACTTTTTCTTTTTAATGGGTTAAATAATGTTGTCTTTTGCCTTCTACACAGGTCCCAGTTGTGTCTTGGTTTGATGACTTTTCAGACATGGAGCTTTTAGAATTGATACCCCTTCTGGAGAAGTTAAATGAAGTCGATGACGTGTGTGCATTTTTGAGAAATGACAACGTGAATACTTTGAAGACAAGGTGCCATCCTTTTGACACCAGCTGATTCACAGTAAATCATTTTATCGACAGTTTTCATTCCTTTTTGAAAGTTTTTTTTTCCAATCGTGCACAATGCCTCGAGTAGAAAAATAACGGTTGTTATTCTTTTACAAAGTCGAGAATGCATTTTTTTTAAAGTAGGAATTTTCACCAAATACTGGCATGCCCAGCCCAGTTGTACAGTAGATCTGGCTCTAGCTGCATTGTTCAAAAGATGAATATTACTCTATCCACTGCATGCAGTGGATAACTCCATACTGGTTTCCGTTAAAAAAAAGTTATCCGTTGGATAGTGATTTATCTGGTGGATAGCATTATCCAGCTTTTGGGCCCAGTTATGATAAATATTGGCAAGCAATGTGCATTCACAGGAAAGCTGTGCAGCTAAAAAAAAATTCAGAAAACGTTTGGCACCATCAGTCAGTTGGAATGTGTGAAAACTGCTGATTTTCTGGTAATAGCCTCTCAGACAAAGAGATTAGACTATCAGATATACTGTAAACTGCCGCTGATATGCCCTGCATGTGCTTATACATCTTTGTAAGGGGTCTTCAAAGGGCTTATATGCGAGGGGGCTTATAACTGAAATAGAGCTATAGCATTGCTGATTAAAATAATGTATTTTGCATTTGCTGGTGTTTTAAGCTACAAAACATCATAATAAATCAAATTCAGTTTTGACACATTTGGTTATATCCACAGCGAGGAGGGGGTTATAAATGGGGGAGAGAGGCTATAGGCAGCAGTTTACAGTATATTCCACTGACAAATCTTCCCATTTATTTTTAACAATCTCAAAGGGCCATGCTTGATTGAGTTAATTTTTGTGCCAAAAAGACCTTTTAGTGACAGCCCTAGAAACTTGGCTCATCAGATAAGCTTCGCAGTTCACTGAAATTGTACAGATAATTTTGAATGTCACAGTGCAGCTTGCTTGCTAATTTTCTTGGGAAACTTCATCATTAAAAAGAGTTTTCTACAATTGTCTTTAGTTAGTAAGATGCAACGTACTCTTGAATGGCGGCATTCAAGTAGTTGCAATTTTTAAGGTACTCATGTAGTTTCTTGGTGTTGAGGATGGGCGATTATTTCCAAATGATGTAAAACAAAAGATTGTAAAGACACTTAACAAATCGACCACACTTTTCCATGGTCCATACTCTTATAGCCCATAGAAATGATGTCATAAAATGTTCAAAACTCAAGTGGAACGGCGAGTGTTTTCACTGCAAAGTTTTGAACATTTTATGGCGTCATTTCTATGGTCCATAAGAGTGTACACCATGGAAAATGGTGGTTGATTGTTTTTTACAATAACATTTATTTTTACGAAAAACCAAAAACAAAACAACTGGCACCGCATGATTTACGTCATTTCCATGGTCTATACTCTCATAGACCATAGCTCTCGACCAATCAGCGTGCGAGGATTTGTTCAGTTATTGTAAAATGAACAATATACCCATGCCACAAACAATAGCTAACCAACAACAATATCTGCAACACCAAGAAACACCAATTTTAATGCACTGGTTATGGGCGGTGCCTATTACCTATAATTAACCATGGAGCAATAACTGTACCTTAAAATAAGAAACTTTTTATGATTTTTTAGTTTGATATATTTTTATCTCAATAGTATGATTGTACTATTTTTACTCATATGTACATAGGATTGTTGAAATTTTGGAAACCTTTTTATTGCCTTCAAATATTATAAATAGCTACAGTGGTGTCCTAGCAACAAAATAGTGGTTTCGTATCACTTTCAATTTTAAAGCAAATTATCAGGGCCTGTAATCAGTTATGTGGCATCTGAGGGAGTGGGAATATAACCATAGTATTCAGAATTATTAACCTTTTTGTATTTTTAGTTTTTGCTGGAAAAATACAGTATTTTTTCACAAAAATAATGGCAGAGTCTTATGTTTTTCAAGAAAATTTTTATGCCTCATGCCACAGAAACTTTTGGCCTTAAAAACCGTGCACCAGGCCCATCAGAATGGCACTACAGTGTATGAGGATCAACCCTTACCCCTCCCGTGAGAATTTCTTATGACTCAATAATTAAAGTTGTAGCAACAATATTATTAATATTATATAATATTGTAATATTATATCATTATTATTAATATTCCCTTGAACTTGTAGGACTCTTTTATTCAACAACATACATAAACCAGACAATTTTTTTTTAAGCAAAAAGTGTTTTCTTGCATCAGTGTGGTTGTGGTACAACGTGGTACATAGTGTATGTCCCTCCTCTTAGAATAGGTCAATTTAGGTTTTTGGGAAACTGCCCACCTACCCCTTCCCTAACTCAACGTCCATATTTGTGTCTCATTTGGGGCAAAATCTTGGGTTAGGGGAGGGGTAGGTGAGCAGTTGATCCCAGAAAGTGAACTTGATCCCAATTTATTTTGTTACTTTATATTAATACAAAGCAAATTAAAGCAAATCTTTGTACTTAAAAACGCTTGCACATAGATTTTGTTGCTGTCCCTTGAACTAAGGAAAAAATCTTATAATTATTGGTTATCTCTGATGAATGTAATTGTTTCATGTAGGCTATTCGTAATTGGCTACTCAATTCTTAGTATCCCCAAAATAGTTTTAGAAAACAGTCTGGGACTACTGTACAATCTAAACGAATTAAAAACATGTAAAATATGAGGGTTTTTCTACAATTGGCATTGTTAGCTTCCATGGTCTATATTTTCCTGGTGGAGGGGTGGGGGCTCCAGGAATGTTTCACCCCAGTGGGCTAGTGCTGTCATGACCCTATAACCCTTAAGGCCAATAGCAAAAAGCATGACAAAGACCCTTTAACGGGACTCAGAATGTACCTTATCGCCCACCCTTCCAGGGAATTACTTTCTTGTCATCATCACTGTAAGGCTGCGCTCTAAGAAAAATTGAAGGAAGCCCAGTGCTCTGAACCTGTAAAATTTAGGGTGCCCAGCATTTAATTTGTATGAAAAAAGTAAGATTTCCTAGTTGAGCACCATGGCCAGGGGCCATTGGGCTCTGCTAGAGCATGACCCTGGGATCATTATACGTTTCTGGGAAACTGCCCACCTACCCCTCCCCTAAAACAATATTAATAACTACTTCTCACTTAGGGCAAAATGTTGGCTTAAGGGAGGGGTAGATGGGCAGGACCTATTTGTAGTCCAGCCAGTGTTTACAAACCTAGTTTTACTAGCTTCTTGACTTTTTGTACCAAGCATGTCTAAAATTTATTGTATTTTTTAAGGAAAAAAAAGAATTGTAATAGCTAGGGCTTTGATGTCATCTCTTGTTATTGACTCGGCCTGATGTAATGTTAAATTCTCCCATTTTATTCATGAGTGTACGATGTAACTAAGGCAAATTGGAAGGAATTGAGCAGTTTATCAAGTCACTTGGGGCTTCATTCTACAAATCCCTTTAATGTATTCTGCTGTCAAATTATAATGGGGCTGCAGATCTTCTTGCAGTGTTTGTCATTTAGTACTTTTTAATCCTGGCCAAGAGTCAGTGACATCCTTAACGTTAAATCATCAGTCATTCAAATTATACCTGACGTAGTGTAAAGTGAAAGATTTATCTGTGAGAGGCTTGCGAAAGTAGTTTTTCAGGTCAACATAGTCGTGCTTGTGATAATAATATCGTTTTCTTCTTCCTCTCCACAAATGAGCTATAAATATTTTTGTAAAACAGTTACCATTGTATTGAAAAAGTGAGGTGATAGACTTGTTAGTTCCATGAAAAATATATTCAGTGTTGTCGCGATAATATTGACATTTGTGAAGTCTTTGAGTATCTGACACTTTAGTGAGTGTTGTTTTAACCATTGCCAAGGGACTGACAAAATTTGTTCCCTATAACGAGGTTTCACTTAATTGAGGTTGTTTCCCATACATTTTACCATTACTGGGGAAAAGAAAATTGTCTGTAATACCACGGACTTTGTTATACAGAGGTTCATTTACCCATTCGCCCCGGGGGGATTTGGCCGAAAAACGCTTTTTGAAGCTTGTCGAGTGGTTTTCTGGTCATTGTCGTGCTGTTAAGAGCTAAAACTTACCACAAAGCTGTTTGCAGGTCGTACTCTTCGCGGCCTTCTGATCCAGATGCAAAAGTATCAGCTTGCGAAGTTCGGGCATGCGCAGAAAGCAAAATTTCGAGAGTTTTTGGGTTTAAATCTTGGCTTTTACTTTCGCTTTCTCTTCGCCCCTCTTTCTTTGCTTTTCTTGCCTCATTTGTTTTTCTTTTGCTGGGCATTTAGTAGGCTTTATTTTGGTGCGAAACGTTTTTAGGAAAGCTTTTAGGATCTTAGGATTAGGCGAAAGAACTGAGAAAGAAAAGGCAGGTGAGTAGTGGACCGGAGTGAAACAAGATTTACATGGCAATTTTCGGGTAATGTTACATGTCCTCGACTGAATTGTGCTCATTCTGATATGGTTTGAAATATCTCTTCACTCTGCACACGTTAGCGGACAAAGTTGTCCTTGACCATTAAAACTGATGACGTCACAAGCGGAAGAAGGGACGTGGATCCGCACGGGCGGTTACGGGCGGCTCAGGGGCGAATGGGTTAAGCAGCCACCCTCTATTAAGCGGCCAGTAATCAAAGTCACGAAATCATTCTAGAAAAGAATGGGAAATTAAACCTCTATTATACGGCAGCCACCTCTATTAAGGAACCACGGCCACTTCTTGGCCTCCCTAACGAGAGTTCTCCCATTGTTGTCACCTCTATTAAGTGGCCATCAAGTGCTTGATACACTAAGTTTGGTATCATTTCAAGAATGTGATAAAGGAAAATACAGTCCGAGATAGGTGACAACCGATTTCTGGACCAGCAATGCTGCTCCCATCGCATAATTATTTCAAAATAAAGTGATTTCTCTACTAATAATTTTGCTAATTTATGACGAACCTCTCTTGAGCACCGACAAGTAGCCGTTAAATGGAGGTTGGCTACCTCAAGAGTGCTTCTTAATGGAGGTTCAACTGTACTTTCAAACATGCCTACGGTGTGAAAAGTTCAAAACAAAAGAAAATGAACAAACAACATTATTACAAAGAGTTTTTGGGGTTCTCTCTTTGGGCTACTTACTTATGATTATTGACACAGGAATGCCACAAGTAATGAAGCCTCACAGGACACCCATTGACTTACCTCAGGTGAATAAATTGCTGTTTAGTACATGAATAAGAGGTCTAGCTTAAGCCAGATTCAACAATGGGTTGATTATTGCTGAGAATGCTTAGCATATTAATTTTAACGTAGGTAGCATTCATATCTAGCCCCCAAACTTTACAACTGATATGTAAAAACTATGACACAAATAGAGTAAGAGCAAACTTTATTCAATCTACTGTTGTTTTTTTGGGTGGCAGTTGTTCAATCAGCAAAAAGAGGATGACAAAATAGACAATTATGCAGGTGAACTTTCACGACAGTCTGACAAGAATGTTGCAAAAAAGCAATCTGGTTCTTCAGAAGAAGTAAAGTCAAAATCGAGATGGCAGTGGTCAGTTTAGTTGTCAGCTTCAGCATCATTCTTAGTTTCTGCTGCAACCGCATCACTTGCTTTATTTGATGCCTGTAGAACAGAATAAAAATAATTCATTTTAAATTAATCATTATTTTTCTCTGTCACTGATTAGCATAAATTCTCCAGGCTAATTTTTTTGTAACTATCCACTGCAGCTGACAATGGAAGATAAACATTAATTTTAAGTAAAATTATGAAACAACATTACTGAATTTGGCTTTCAAAATTTACCCTGTAATATGAAGAATGATGTCAGGCACAGGAACTTAGGAGGGGTGTTACCCGCCAAAACTGCCTCACTGTTCTACATTATCACACTCAGCTAACCTCGGATATTATTGTTAAATATTTATCATTGTTATAACAGACTCTAAGAGCTGAATCAATGTAAAAATCAATTTGAGCACCTCATTGGTTAAGTCATGTTCATGAAAAAAAAAAAAAAAAAATTAAGCCAGTAATTATAACTTGACTTGTGCAATGAATTCTAAAACTCAGTCACTCTGCATGTGCACAGAATGCACTTATGACTCTCAAACTCTTTAAACATTCCTTTTCTTACCTTCTTTTTCTTCTTCTTTTGTGTTTTTCGACTTGCTGATGTTGCAAGGATACCCTGGAAATTATAGTCGAAGACCAAAGCAAAAATTTTTAATAACATCTTGATAACATCTAAACCATCAGACCAAGCTATTCCATACTGCTGCTCTTACAACACTACAACCCTAACTATTTCCCGGTCCCTTATTATGTTTTTTGCAATTAATGGTGTAATGTTGATTATAACAGGTCCAGTTCAATGCTTCAAATTGAGTCCAAGGCACAAGATTATAAATGGTTCAGCCAATTCCTAGGCAGCGCAGCTTCATTTGTACTCTGACTGCAAAGTCTGAAATAGTTCACGGTTCTTGTAATAGGCTGATCTTAGAAGATGTCATTATATTGTAGGTGGGCTTAGGCTGCTTGTACTTTCTTTCCACATAGTAACCTGCCCTGGCAAGCTGTTGTGTTGGACTGGATGGAAGATGCGCATTTCAGGAAATTTATTCCTTGATTTAATTAAGCCAACTCTGGGCTGGATCCTGATTGGAAAGTGGGTTCTGTTAAATTACTTTTCTAAATAAGACTAAGGTAGGAAGCATTAGACACCTTTTAAGAAAACTCATTAACTGGAGGGGGAGGGGTGACACTGTTTAACAGAACTAATGAAGATAATTTGCACAAAAAGTGAAGCACTACTTTTATTTCTGACAACAAATTATATTGTTCTCTTCATTCTCATTAATATAAACTGTGTTTAATTTGGTAGAGACGATAGAAAGAACTAAGTGCATAAATTCAGGTTTGTGTAAAATTTGGATGATCACTAATGTATGCGTCAAAATATTACCTTGATTTCCTCATCTTGTATTGAATACTCTGACTGAATTATTTCTGGATCAAATGGCCCTTGTGTTATCCTAGAGAAAACAGTTGCATGGTGTAAATTATGGCAGTTTGTCAATTTTGTTTAGTTTTGCCAAAAATTGGCCACAACTCCAGTGTATTACTAGCTACGGAAATTACCATTAGCAAAGAAATAATTTAAGTGACAAAATCGCAGGTAACTCCTTGTAATTCAAAGTCAGAGATGGCAGGGACTGATTAAGTTTGAAGAAATGCTAACCTGGGCCCAGTTCCTAAAAGGCCGATTAGCACTAATCCAGTATTAAAATCTTGTTCCATTTTTGTATTTTACCTTCCTATGAATTGCTCAGAGTCACATTTTGTGCTATCATTACTGTATTTTGGAGTAAAGCCCAAACAGTATTTTGTAAGCTGGAGTTACATGTTCTTATACAAGAAAACCCTTGCTTAAAATTTTGCTTAATCCTGGGTTAAACAAGGAACCAGGCCCTAGAGAATGGACCAGCCTGATCCGTTCTCCACCCAGGAGGGCCCCCCTTCTGGTTCCCCTTAGTTCCTTGAGATGAGGGGATATGGGACTCCTGCGCCCCCTCCCCCACCCTGGAGACTGATCAGGACTCCTGTCCAGGGTGGTTACCCGCGGTACCACTTGATCTTGACTTCCCCCAGGATGGCTTCTCTCCTGGTTCCCTTACCCCAAGATTAGAGTGTTTCCCTGCCACCAAAATTTGGCCCATTACTTTCTTGAGGTGTTTTCTGTTTGGTACACTGCATAGAGCAATGCAAAACCACCCACTCATCAGCAAAGTCTATTAACCTGTTAATCTTTCATATTGTCCACCTGTGCCTTTTTTGTTAGCCTGCATAGCAGGTGCCAGTAATTATTTTATTCAGGCTGCGAGAGGGGAACACACAAAGGGGCACCCTCTCCTTTTCTCCTCTTGCGCATCCTCGAGATTTGTTCCTTTGCCCTAAAAACACTGGCGCCTGAACAGGTGACTTTTTTGTCTTTCCTTTTCTTTTTAATTTTTCCTTGATGGTTTTATGCAGTTTTTTTTTTAATGTCAAGATAGCCGGTTTCAAAATAATGTCCAGCAATGGTTAAATCACAGGACCACTTACAGGGCAACTACAAAGTAATGACAAACTCTTATTCACCTGCTTGTGCCATTGGGCATTAGTAACAGTGTGAATTTAAACTGTGCTACATATTCACCTGAAAAGAGAAAAATGTCAATGATCACGAAGAGAAGAGTATTATGAAAAGATGACAGCGATGGCAACTGGGACTTAAAAAAAGCAAAACAAAAACTCTGCATGTGCTTCACACTTATATTTATATGCAATCTCTGGAGAACTAAGACATGAAATGGCCAAATCTTAAGTTAACTTGAGAAAAGGAACAGCAAGGCAATCAATATCTACTATCTCTGTCTGAACTTGGGTTATGTTCCCTCCCTTCAGTCCAAGTTTAAAATCCCTTCTTGGCTGCAATAATGTGCAAGCTTAAAGTTTAAGCCCAGAACTAACCTTCTTTTTCCCAAAGGACATTAAAGGGTTCTACAAGACCGTGCTGCCTGCACTCCACTACACCCATTTTTGCCTTCTTCTCATCTTCAAATGCTCTGTTGAAAGATTACAAATAATAAGAAAGTGGGTGGGGTACTATGGGAAGATGCCTTTTCCCTCTTTCCATTGTTGCCTAGGTGCTTGCTATACACAGGCGCTTAACCACGCAGGCACACAGACTGGGATACACAGGCACTACTTCACATTATTTTGAATACCCCAAAAAAACTCTAATCAAATCAAGCCACCCAAAGAAATTCCAGTATCTAAAATTTCAAACCCCAAAGAATCCTTTGATCATCCTGGTCAATTGAAATCAGGAGTCAAAATCAGAAAAAGCAGGATGGGAACCAGAAACAAGCAACAGAATACTTACCGAAGTGTAAAAGGCATACTGGTAAATTTGTTACACACATCACTAAAGAAAACTGCAACAAAAAGATGTCATTTAAGAATAGTTCCAAATAGTTTATGAAACTGTGCCTCAAAGCCAGTTGGGGTTTTAGCCAGGTGACTTATCCCAGTTTCCAAAGCACGAAGCAGCTAGAAATATTTCTACTCCCCGCTGCAGAACAGCATGCTAATCCATAGCAGGGTTCACCTCAGCATTTGCTGGTACCCATTCAAACACCCAGGTGGAGCAAGGCACTTTGGGAGTAAAGTGTCTTGACCAAGAACACAACATAGTGACCCCAGCCTGCAGGGATGAGCCTGGACATCATACTCAAATACAACTAAGCTAAGTGCAGAAAGCACAGGGTACAGCTTGGGGGAAGTCATATGTAGGTGAAAGAAGTGTGACAGCGAAGACTCCAATTGTGGCTGGAGATATATAGTAACACTGTGTGTATGGGAGAGAGGGAGGTCAATGAGGAGTCCAAAGCAATAATCATTAGAGACTTGTCCAAGAAAATATTACTTTCAAAAACCATATGTAAATTAAATGATCTATGTGAAATTAAAATGGTTTTTGCTAGCCTTGTTTTTCGCTATGCTATAGTCCTGGCAAGAAAGAATGCCTTGGTTGAGGGGCTTAACATTCATGTATGTGCTAAATGTAATCCATGGATGGTAAATTTTCCAGGACAACTCACACATTTAAGCATTTACATTGTACAGTAACCCACATAGGATTAGAGCCGACTGGGCTTCAAAATTAATAGTATAGTACTTTAGTTACCCGGTATTATACATTTTTTTAAAGTCTGCATACCTCTAGATGCCTTCATTTTCAAGCTGTATGCATTTTCAGTTTTCTTGTAAACTGTTGTTCGGGTGTCTTTATCTTTAGTCTTCCCATCTCCTGTGCTGACAAGGATGTCGACTGCAAACACATCATGTACAGCGAACTCACATTTGGGATGGTCCTTCCTGTCAAAACAACACAACTCTAATTACTTACATTCTGTCGAAATGGCCAGGCAAAAATAGGTAAAAAAAAGACAGACAAAAACATTGAACTAAAATCTTAATTCAACTGAAAATCTGCTGCAAACCCTTTTTAACAAGAACAAAGCCTAGTAAAACCCAGTGCAGTGGAATCTCACCAAGATAGTTCAACTTGTTTTTTGATTGGCAAAAATCGAAGTCTTAGGGGAAACAGTTTACAGACAAATATTGTGTGAAATTGACTTCAGCTGCTCACTTTTAAAAGATATTAATAGCAGATATATTCTATAGACTACAAAAAAGGCATTTTTATCTCAAAATTGGTTTCGCAAGGTGTAAAGTGCCAGCAAGAGGTTCTTGCATGAGGTGTGGAGGCTTCAGCTAGACACCCATATTTTTTTTTAGTCTGTTCCATTTCTTTTGCATCCCTCCATAGTCTTACTCTCTGTTTTCACCTTCCCTCCACACTTCTTATTGTTTTGACTGCTTGTGTTCTTGACGTATGCAAGACATGGGCTGTTTGCAATCTTATATTGATCAAAAAGTTCTGTCCATATAAAGCATCCTGTGGCCCCTTCTCTTCTAGTTTTCAAACATAAACTATTTTCTATAAAAGAAGCTGCTTCCCTCCTCAAAAAGCAGAATTTGTGGATAAAATAATGACCAAAGTGACATGGACAGTAATGTTACCCTTTAGAAAATGGATTACCTGAGTTGCTCTGATGGATTGAGAATAATTTGTTTTTCTCCATCTATAATGTTTCGTTTCAGTTGATGCGATAACATACCTTGCAAAATAAAACTAAATTAATATTCACAAAATATTATTCAATGAAATTGATGAATAGCACTTTAACAGAGTACTGCGACTACACAAGAACCAAAACTAGACAGATATGGTAACTGAAGTTGGAACAAGACTGCTCCATGAGAGGCGTAAAAAGCCATTTACGTTTATATCTGGTGATTACCACTCTCTCTCGACTGAGACATGGAATTATCAGCTGCCAAAAATTTGAAACAATCTCTTGTGCTTGTTACACTTGTGCAGTGACTTCATGTACCACAGGTGCAGTAGCTGTCACAGATATTTCAAGTTACCAGATAATTAGTAGGTAGGGAATTCAACAAATAAAAGAAGAGTTTAGTTTCTAGAGGAAGTATGCTGTTGCATTAATGCCAGAGTGAAATACAAAGATTTGGTATAAGGCAGATTGGCCACCATAGAGGGATAGAGTAGCCCATTAAGACCTAGCTCTAACAGAGATCTTGCTTGCACTAATGAAGGGCTAGTGTTCAAAACCTCCGCTTCTCTATCTTCCTACAATGACCTATCTACCTTACTAACTCAGTTGTATAAGCAAATTGGGGAATTGAACATCTCTTTCCCTCTTTTCCCCTATAAAAACAGCCAATGGGCGATGCTCATAGTGAGCTGGGGAAATCCCTGGCAATTTCATGACATCCTTGTCACTTTAATGTGTAATTTATTTACAAAGGCTAATTTTGTTTTACTAATAATAACAACCAAGAATACTTAACAGTACCTTCAACAGGCTTGCATTGAAATGCCTCTGCTACTTTTTGTATTTGATCTGTTACTGTATAGTTCTGCAACAATAATTTAACATCGTGTCAAGTTGCAATTTCTTATTTTAAAAAATTTACATTTGTGGCATATGCACAGGATACCCAGCCTAAGATTACAATACTGGTGCTGTTACTACAAAAAAGATAGAACCAAACCTTTATTATAATGAGATGATGCCTTACCTCATTACCCGCCTTGACGAGTCTTTGAGCTACTTCAGAAGCTAAGTATGCTGCTTGAATCACATCAGCTTTGCGACCTGTCACTTTATTGTCCTGTGAAACATTATTATATTATAAAATGTTTATGGTGTCAATGAAGTGTTAATACTACATATGGGGGTTGGATTCACCACTTTCACAGGAAGTGTGTTGCAAAAGCACCAGGACCTTTTAGGTGAGTTGAGCTGAATATGACAGGAAACAACCTTTGTGTGCTGCTTAGGAAACCAAAGAATGTCAAAAATTTTTCAGCCATCACTGCCATATTAGACTGTCTGGAAAGATGGCAAGACTTAACTGGACAGGGAAGGGGAAGATACGTCCCCTTCCATAAGTATCCTAGCCACATAATCCAGGAAAGTAGCTCAACTCCCCCACCCCTTCCCCCCCAAAAAAATCAAGGAAATTAGCTATGTAGCATTTTCAGCTTACTTTTGATGCTCCCACAACAATTGTATGTCCAATTACTGCAATATATCCATCAATATGAACACCAAAGTCTCTGAAAGAAGAGAAGGAAAATAATAAACTTCACAGCATGAAGCAAAAAGTTCTTTGTCCATCATTACCCTCTGATTATTTCAGTAGACTATCCCATAAAAAGGTTTGTCATAATAATCTGCTGACCCTCTCCTCCACCCATGAGGACTTGAAAAAAGGCCTGACCAGTTCAGCCTGTGAAAACAGCCGGGTAAGGGTATGGACTTAAAAAAAAAAACATAAACAAACCTATGAAAACTTGTAATTGACCCAGGAAAGCAAAATTTGAGGGCAACTAAATTAAAGGACATGGTGGTATTCAAAAGCCCTGCACCCATCACTCAAGTAACTCTGCCAAGAATTTGACACCAAGGATAAAATCTAATATTTACCTATCCGGGTGCAAGAAATTAAAGTCAGTTTTACAGTTTGCCATTCAGGCAAGCTGTAGCTAGCTAGCATGCACTAGCTCGAAATTCATCTCAACTAGCCCCAAAAACTTTTTGATAAGCAGGATTGATTACACAGTTCTTATGTAATTTCAGTTCCTCAAAAAACTTCACTTGCACGTCGGGCAAGTTAAGAACAGAATTCACTACCCCGATAGCAAAATCCACTAGTCCTGGGCTATCGGACACTACTTTCTTTGCCCACTGTCTATTACAAAAAAGTTGCAAGCTTTGTTTGCGTGGACACTTATCCCTAGCTATATGAATTAACAATGAATAAAATGCTAACGTCTCACATCTTGACAAGGTCTCCATCCTGTAAAGTGATATCCGGCTCACTCATAAGAGGTGAAAAATGACAGACACAGTTGTTTACTGAGATGCACGTTGGAAATGCAATACCTGGAAAAAAAAGAGAGAGAACCATCAGCACAAAGACATAACCACTACCGAAAGAAAATTTCATTTAAATGGCCGCAGCATAGCATTTCAACCAACTGACATCAAGAGGTGAGAGAAATTTGCAAACCCTAATTAGATACCTCCAAAGTTGAATGGCTGGGTAGAAGATGGGCTCAGAGTTTCTTCAAAATTTGATTACTACTGATCTAAAGAGAAATCCTTCGCTTGTTTCACAAGAAAACATAAAAGAACTTGGAAGGAGACTGCCAATTATCAGCAGTCACTTTGGGCTATTTTCCTGGCACCCCCTCATTATTGACTCCAAAAGAGAGAGAAAGAAGATCAAGATAAAAAGTCGCCACTTTACCTTTCTTGAGTTCTTTTTCTTTTTTATACACTTTACCAGTTTCTTCATCGATAAGGTTATCTCCTAACTGACAAAGGGTTCGTGCTGTAGTTTCTGCAGTTGCAGCCTCTATGATTTTCTTAAGTATACCTTTTATACAACACAAAAAAAAAAATCCATGGTAAGACCAAGTCTACAAAACTGCCTAGCCTCGGAAATTTCTAATTTCATGCATGCTGGCTCCTTGGAGGTGAATAGCAAATGGCTAATCATCTTGGAGCAAACCAATTGCCAATAACTGTGCATGAAAAGCTTAATAATACAGTACTGCCAAAAAAAAAATGGCTGTTCATTGGAGAAGTGAGCAGCCATGAAATAAAGACAAAGGTTTTCACTTGAGTAGTTATAGTTTATCCACTTACTAAAAAAAGTTAACCATCTTATATAGCATAATAACCAGTATCACAGGAAAAATACTGCCCAGCCAGTTTGCAAAGTGTATAACAAGTACAAGGCTTGTTTTTTGCTAAAACGTCGGTGTGCTCAAGATCTCATTGAAAACTGCCATACTCTGCAGACTAGTTGTTCAGCATTTTATATTTTAATGGTTGCACTTTATCATATTGCACTCATTGCTGTATTGAAATCCATATTTTCTTCTTTTTAGTTATTCTGGGGATGACAGTTATAGACCTTGTCATGGTTTTCAACACCGTCTTGACGAGTAGGCAAATGTGTGAGAAGTTACAGTGTTTGTGAGAATCCAATGTCGGATAATTTCCATAAAACAGCTGTTCTGAAAAAAATATCAATTGTAAACTAAAGCTACAAAGCAAAGGATTGTCCTAAACAATTTTGGGGGTGTACCAGATCTTAAATTTCTCTGGAGGCTTGCTTTAGATTTTCCATATATTTGTCTGTAATTTTCCTGGGACTTTCTCACAGACAAAAGTATAGAAAATTTTAAAAAGTGGTTCTAGGTCTTCTAGTGCATGTATTGCCCTTGATTTTTTTTCACTAGAATCCTTAGGAGCGAAGCTTTAGTTTAGAAATCATTTTTTTTTCAGAAGAGCCATTTTACGGAAATTATTCGACATTAGATTCTCATACAAACACTGTAATTTCTCACGCATTTGTCTACTTGTCAAGATGGCATTGAAAACCTTGACAAGGTCTATCTATGCTGATTTTCGAGCTTGACATTAACAAAATGTAAAGCAGACACATCTGTTGTTCTCTCATCCACAATAATTGAATATGGAAGATTTGAGACTCATTTGCAGTTTTAGATCGAAGCATAGCCTCCTCTTAACCCCAGCTTCATATATAAGATTATAAAACTCATTGGTGACATTAATTCCCTATATGATATGAGAGGTACCTGTCAGAAGCTATTACTTAATTATGATATACTTAATTAAAGTAAGAATATCCAAAACATGATTGAAGCTCGATTTCTATAATTTGAAATGACAAGGAAAAAAGGTAATCAAATTATAACGAGATGAGAGTGCGAGAGGACATCCGTGACGAGGTTATATCAAATGTACAACGTTTGTACATGGTTTAACGGTAAAATTTTACTCAAGCTTTGTAGCCCTTTTTTTTCCAACGCGACAAGCTTAAAGTACAAGGAATGGAGGGAAATTAGGTTACGTCAACGGATGAAGGGAATAGAGTAACAGATAAATGAGCATAGAATGTTAGATTTTCTGGTCCGACAAAACAAGAGGAAGTTTGTAGAGCGAACACGCCGGTACGAGCTGACATCATATTTGGAATATTCAATCAATAAGACACTGAAAACTTGACACCACACTTACGGTTTGCCATATCGCCAGCCATCTTGTATTTCGTAACAACGACATCCTCGGCAATAGTAGGATCTTCTTCTTCGCCCGAATCGCTTCCTTTATCTGCCATTTTACTGAAAAAAATGTTTTTGCAATCGCAATGAAAACCTTCGAAGATGGCGGCCTTGCACGTGGGAGAATGGAATAAGTGAGTGGTACCCAGGATGCCGTGATGGCGTGCTCAATTTGGCGGGTATTTTTTCCTTACCCCTCTCTAGATGGTAAAGCAAAATACAACAGGGATGGGGAAAGGAAAATGGACTGGTTGGACAGTTCGTACTTCTTGTATGCCTAGGTGTATTGTCATAAATGTTACGTGGCCAGCAATTTTGTGGAAGGGGAACATTCCCATAGAAACTTTTGAATTAAATCTTGTTATAAACCGAAAAGTGACTTCAGCAGTGGAGGTAACCATGATTAAAGCTGTAATACTCATTGGAGGTCCTATGAAAGGTAAATTATTGCTTTCTGTTGCAAGACACAAAAACTCTAGTTGGCTACATACTCACTCCGACATGCATGCAGCTTATTTTCAAATTTGTATTTTGAACTTCGTTCTTTCATCGTTATAGGGACAAGGTTCCGGCCTCTTTCTTTGGAATTGCCAAAACCATTGTTTCCTATCGGAGGATTTCCAGTCGTGTATCATCACATTGAAGCTTGCAAGAAGGTATAATCTTTTGGAATCTAGATGATTCAGCTGTTCTCATTAAAATACTATAGCTTTACTGCACTTATGAGAAATTTTCATAACTTAACGCTAAAGAGATCCGATAAATAAATCTTAAGCAAGCTGAACAAATTTTAAGTATTGATCGTCTGAATAGAATTCTAGATATTTAATTCTATGAGCAAAAACCAGTAAAAACAGCCGTTACGCATCGAAAAAAAACCCTGACCTTTGTCACGTTTTCTTCATTTCCAAACGAACTTTGGGATGTATCTTAGTATGGGGACAAGTCTGGTTCTTATATTTGTATTCTAAGCAGAGAATAAAAAAGTGAAGAGAAGGGAGCGTATGGCTGTAGAATTTACTGGGACACATGTTTTCTCTTACTATTGTTCAAATGCAGAATTTGACATTTCTACTCAACTATTGTAAGCTGTCATCCTATTTTCTTGTGAGGGAACTTGAACAAATTCAACAGTATCAGAAGGGAAAAAGTACCAATAAATTTAATTCCCGTTCTTTATTTTAAACTTCACTGCAAATATTTATCTGAATATTCTAACTCGCTCAATTAATGCAGGTGGATTTTTCCTGAAGTTGAATATTTCCCAAGGAATTCCTAATAAAATAAAATTCAGGTAGAAAAGCAAGGCAATATTTGCTTGTTGTATATCATGTCACATCGTAAGAGATTTTCATGCCATAGCTCTGCAGAGCATTGCATAGAAAATGAGCCAAATAGCATGATGCATTAATTTTTCAGTTTTTATTTTAACTTACTAGACCTTTTGTTGGCATTTGTCTACTGACAGTTGGCCAACAGTATTTTATTAAAGGAGCTGTTTTTCATTTGATTTTCAATAGATCTCATTGAAAACTGCCATACTCTGCAGACTAGTTGTTCAGCATTTTATATTTTAATGGTTGCACTTTATCATATTGCACTCATTGCTGTATTGAAATCCATATTTTCTTCTTTTTAGTTATTCTGGGGATGACAGTTATAGACCTTGTCATGGTTTTCAACACCATCTTGACGAGTAGGCAAATGTGTGAGAAGTTACAGTGTTTGTGAGAATCCAATGTCGGATAATTTCCATAAAACAGCTGTTCTGAAAAAAATATCAATTGTAAACTAAAGCTACAAAGCAAAGGATTGTCCTAAACAATTTTGGGGGTGTACCAGATCTTAAATTTCTCTGGAGGCTTGCTTTAGATTTTCCATATATTTGTCTGTAATTTTCCTGGGACTTTCTCACAGACAAAAGTATAGAAAATTTTAAAAAGTGGTTCTAGGTCTTCTAGTGCATGTATTGCCCTTGATTTTTTTTCACTAGAATCCTTAGGAGCGAAGCTTTAGTTTAGAAATCATTTTTTTTTCAGAAGAGCCATTTTACGGAAATTATTCGACATTAGATTCTCATACAAACACTGTAATTTCTCACGCATTTGTCTACTTGTCAAGATGGCATTGAAAACCTTGACAAGGTCTATCTATGCTGATTTTCGAGCTTGACATTAACAAAATGTAAAGCAGACACATCTGTTGTTCTCTCATCCACAATAATTGAATATGGAAGATTTGAGACTCATTTGCAGTTTTAGATCGAAGCATAGCCTCCTCTTAACCCCAGCTTCATATATAAGATTATAAAACTCATTGGTGACATTAATTCCCTATATGATATGAGAGGTACCTGTCAGAAGCTATTACTTAATTATGATATACTTAATTAAAGTAAGAATATCCAAAACATGATTGAAGCTCGATTTCTATAATTTGAAATGACAAGGAAAAAAGGTAATCAAATTATAACGAGATGAGAGTGCGAGAGGACATCCGTGACGAGGTTATATCAAATGTACAACGTTTGTACATGGTTTAACGGTAAAATTTTACTCAAGCTTTGTAGCCCTTTTTTTTCCAACGCGACAAGCTTAAAGTACAAGGAATGGAGGGAAATTAGGTTACGTCAACGGATGAAGGGAATAGAGTAACAGATAAATGAGCATAGAATGTTAGATTTTCTGGTCCGACAAAACAAGAGGAAGTTTGTAGAGCGAACACGCCGGTACGAGCTGACATCATATTTGGAATATTCAATCAATAAGACACTAAAAACTTGACACCACACTTACGGTTTGCCATATCGCCAGCCATCTTGTATTTCGTAACAACGACATCCTCGGCAATAGTAGGATCTTCTTCTTCGCCCGAATCGCTTCCTTTATCTGCCATTTTACTGAAAAAAATGTTTTTGCAATCGCAATGAAAACCTTCGAAGATGGCGGCCTTGCACGTGGGAGAATGGAATAAGTGAGTGGTACCCAGGATGCCGTGATG